CTGTGGGGCCGTATTTGATCCGTTCCAAACCTCTCTCACTTCTTCACCCCTGTAAGCCCGCACTTTGGCAGTTCCGAATCCTTCACCCTACTGGATCCCCCTGCCCGCCCTGGTCTCGCTCACGGCCGGGAACTCGGCTGGGTCTAGACCCCGCCGAACCCTACCTTCAGACGGCCCAGCTCTTCACCGCACTTGCTAAGATTGGGGCTTTTGCGGTTCCACTCGCCCTTAAGTTGCTCGTACATGCCGGCCGCGACCTGCAGGACTGCGCCCGAGGCCGCCGCAGGCCCTGAGCCCGAGGCGCCGGGCGACCCGTTCACCGCCGCGGCCGCCATCTTCCGTGATGCGGCAAACCTCCTCCCCGACTTACGGCAGCGACGCCTAAAGCCTCTCGCCCGGCGGAAGTGGGGCTGAAAGGTGGAGCCCAGAGCCGGGGGCGGGGCTACGGCTGCCGGCCCCGCCACGCTGCGGTTAGCGTTCAGCCGCTCTCGGGGCGGTGCCCTTGGAGCCCGGCCCTTAATGAACATGTCAGTCAGAGCTCCGCCTCTGCTGTCATTCAAGATGGTGACCGGAAGTTCGCTCCTGCCCTAACTGACAATGGCCGCGGTCGCAACGACGCCCCCACCGGCCGTAACCAATATGGCTGCACTGGCTTCAGCCCGGGCGTTCCGGACCCTGCTTTTCGGTCTTCAAGGTTCCACCTTCACAGAAGCTCCTCTAAGCCAGGAGGGGGCGATGGTAGAGCTCTGTGCCATCATTTCCATTTTATAGATGGTAGCATCCCTGCTGCTAGACCTTGTAGCTTCTTTTTCCTGCCAGTTTGCTAAGGGATAAGCACTAGATTTTGTTGCTTTAGTTTGTATTAACATACTAATGAAGTTGAGCATCCTTCCTGTTTATTGAACATTTGGATTTCCTCTTTGAAACTTTTTTAAACACTTCTTTTTTTAAGTTTATTTATTTTTGAGAGAGAGAGAGCGCAAGCACAAGTGGGGAGGAGCTGGGGGGGGGGGGGG